ATCCCAAGCCCAGGAGCATCTTCCTCAGCCTGGACCCAAGTAGTCAGCCTAATCTCAGTGGGGACAGTGACCTGGAAGGTCAGGGAACTCTGGAGTTAGGGAAGAGACTGGCAGGAGAGACCACTGAAGACTGCTTGAGGTCTCCTTGCTAGGGTTTAGCCTCCTCCCCCTGGTGGCTGCAGCACCTGAGGCTGGGCTCCCTCCCCTGTTCCCCTCACTCACAGTAGAGGGCACACATGAAGAGGGGGCACTGCTGAACTGAAAGGGACCTCAGAGTCCCAGCCCCTACCCCTGTCTATTTCACAACAACAAAGCTGAGACCCCAGAGAAAAGAAAGGATTCAGCCAAGGTCATGGTGCAGTATTCATTTGGGGCCACAATGAGATTATAGCTTGTTAGGATTTTTGATAGGCTGTTTTAAAACTTACAAATTTTTCAGAAGGCTAGTCAGTGTCTGGCTTCCCCTAATTCACACTGGTAGAACACTGTGATTAAAATTCAGCTACATAGCTCTTGTGGAAAATGCAGTTATGGATCTGCCAGTGCAGGGCTGAGCAGCTGTCTCCCACTCTAAAATGGGGACTCTAAACCCAAAATCCACCCGAGTTCCTGGGAACTCATAGCCCCTCAAACTGAAGGCAAGTTTTGGAGTGTCTGTGCTCCAGACATTTTTCTGAAGAGGAGTTCTTTGACTGATTTAGAAAGACATGCACAACATAGAAAGGGTTGAGAATCAGTCTCTTAAAGCACCAGTGTCTAGGGGAAATCAGTACTTAGCAATCAGTTGCTAGGCACCTTACCAGCACTCAGGGACCTAAAAGGGTTGGACTCTTGTGTCCTAGATTTATGAGTATGTATTTTGCAATATGAAGGAGCTTCTCTGCTCTAGAATGTAAGTTCCTTCAAGGTAGGGTTCTTGGCTATTTGCTTGCCTCGTATCTAAGGTATCTTAGATCCTGGCCTAGTGCATGGGCATAGGTAGGTGCAAATACAAATTTGATTGGCTTACTAATTCTGCACAGTACTTCTCTTGCCATGACCACACCTACATAGACTTTAAGAACTGCTATCACTAGGGCACTCCCACAGCAAAATTTTCATGAATTTCAATACTGTATTGTCCTTCAAGATCTTTTTTGTTCATGCGAATGACCAACCACACTGGAAAGATCAAGGCATTGCAACCAAACCCTATGTCAAGACCTCTCGAGGCAGTTGACATAGTGTCCTATGACTTCCCAACCACCCTGGGGAGGCTGCTGCTTTATGAGCAAAGGAAGGGCTTCTGGCAAGCAGGTGCAGATGTGCCCAGCAGGCCTTGGGATGAAAGTACCCTGCACACAGGACTGCTGAACTGACCATGACAAGATCTGGGCTCCTAGTCCCTACCTCTGTATTGATTTTGTTTGCCAATCCCTCCCCTGTCCCATTTTGCAGCCTCTGCAGCTCTCCTGGGAGGACCCCTGGGGACTAAGGAGCTCGGGGTTGGAGGCAAGCCAGAGAGGAGCTGGCCCCAGGTCAGAAAGGCCTCTTTCTGAGGAGGGAAGAGGAGAGGCCAGCTTCTTGGGGCCTGCTGGACTAGCCCTGCTCCCTGTCCTTGGACTTACCCAAGATAGCCGGAATCTCCTGTGGAGAAAAGACCTCCGAGAGGCTTGTGGCCAGCTGTTGCTCCTGCCTGGGGCTAAAAATAGCCTGTCCACTGCCCATGTCCAGCTCCAGCTGAGCCAGAGTGCTGAAGAAGATTCAAAGGGAGAGGGGACCACAGTGCAAGGCTGGGGGTGGGTTTCCCCAAAATGGGCACAGACAAAGTGAGACAAGAGCAGGAAAGGTGCACTTGGGGCCTACATCTCTGAGGGGAAATGAGGCTCAGAGAGGCTGGAGGCTGACCTTGGTCAGGTAATAAAATGTTAATGCCCAGCACTGTTTTAAGATGAAAAGGACCCTGTGATGTAGGTATTGGTACATTTGGTCCCTTTGACAACTGAAGAAAGGATGGCCCAGGAACATTAACTCTCCAAACTCACAGACCCAGGGAGTAGACTCTGGATTCAGACTCAGGCAGGGTAAGTGTGTGGCCACAGCCCAGGTGGCACATACAGGGCATGAGAAGAGGAAACAAAGTCCCAGCATTGCCATATGGGGGTAGCACGGAGCGTGATGAGTCCCAGGGCTGCCTGCTGGGGAGCTCATTTTAATCTTGGCACTTACTAATTCTTGGGCTCAGGCCTGTTACACACTTCCGGATGTACCTACACTTTTTAGGCAAATACTTTCTAACTACCCCCTTTCTTCTTGCTTGCCTTCAGTCCCCCATCTCTGACAAGGTACAGGGACATAATGTCCAACCAATTCTAGGGTCCAGGGATCCCAGAGACTCAGTGGAATGCAATCCCCCCAGTCCAGGCTTGCAAGAAGCCAGTACAGGGACAGGGCAGAAGGCCAGCAAAGGGTCTTTGGAATCCACATTGTTTAAACACTTGGAGTAAAGCAGATTTGAATTTCATAAAGGTGGAAGTAGGAAGATGGAGGGAAGGACATAAAGGAAAAGAAACAGAAAGGGAAAGGAGAGAAGGAGGGAGAAAGTAGAGAAAGAGAATGAGAGCATTCTCAAAGGTACTGGTCAACCTGGCATTTTCTTATCTGTAGCCGAGCCTCCGAGGGGAAAGTCAGTCTTGCTGAGCTGAAATGGAGCTAGAGCAGAGGCAGGGAAGAGCCTTGTGTCAGCAAAAGTGTGGGGAAGGAAGAAAGGTTGGGATGACCCAGGATGGCAGGATGCTCACACATCTGCTTTAGTTCTGTCTCCTCTACAGACTCTTGGGCTGCTCGCCTTGTGTAAGACCACAGCACACACCAGTCCTCCAGCAGAGCCACTAATGCAATTAATGAAACACATTCATAAATCTTGCATGGCGTCTGGAGCTGTCTCCTTTTCCCTGAGCTGGGCCTGCTCCGGAGACGCTATGCAGACTGCTGTCTGACCTCTACAGTGGCCTGGCCTCCTGATGCTGCTGCTGTAAACTTAGTAGGACAGCATGACCATCCCTTCCTGCTGGGAGCAGAAATACAGAGAAGAATGAGAAGGAGGAGGTGAATGTGTCACGAGGTTGCCAGGGGTTGACTCATGGTTATAACTTCAGGCTCAGAGGGCAGCATTCTGCAGAGGTCCACAGGTCATCTTTCTGCTGGAGGACAGAGCCAGAGAGCACAGGAGATGGAGAGGTCCTGTGTGATAATGCAAGCCTGGCTGAACAGTGTGTCGGTGTTTGTGTTTGCGAGTGTGTGTGTTTGCATATTTGCGGGTGTGTGCATGTGTGTTCAGTCTGGAAAACTGGTGACTCACAAGAACAGGGAAACTTCTGATTTCTGAAGAGCTTATATTCAGCTATTTTTAATCTCCTTTTGTCTTTTGGCCCTTTTTCCCCTTGTCTTTCTCAGATGTAGAGGGATCTGGGTCTGTGAATGCTGTATGTGTATGCTGATTTAAAGCTTGGGCCCAGAAGTGGGCACCGCCTGAGGTGCAGAGATAAATGCACATGTGGGGCCCATGGATGTGTCGTCAGGATGACTCAGACAGGTAGCACACTTTATCACGTGTGTTCATACCTGCAGGTGTGCCCAGGCCAGAAATGTCCCTGGAAGTGCACAGGTCACCATCTAAACCTACCAAGGGCATGCCATATAGACAAACACTGTATGTTCCTCACCTATACAGTCCCTCTGTCACACACCCAGCCATCAGAATCCACAGCCCATGCCCAACTCACACTGACCCTGGTGCCTGCACCCACGAACAAGCACCACAGGCATTCCCTTAGCCCATCTGAGGGAGAAGCCCCAGCCCCTTGTCTTCTTCCTTCTCTGTCCAGAAACCTGCCCCCTTCCCTGAAGTTTCAGCATCTGCCGATATTGACAGAGAGCAGGAGGTGCCTCTGCTATGCTAGGCTTTCCTGTGACTCCTCCCACTGCCACTTCTACCTGTGGCCCCAAGATACCTCTCCACAAACTGGCTGTGAAGGCCCCCAAAGGCTTTGCAGGGCTGAATGCTGCCCTCCTCTGTAAGCTCATCACTCCCCCACACTGGAGATATGGAGAACAAAAAGCAAGCTTTCTTTGAGAGCCCCACCTTGGAGGGGCAGGGGTGATCTGCATGTTTCAGGGCTCTATACTATGTGTGGGGTGCCTTGCCCTGGACTGTGTGTTGACAGGACCCTGTATACAAGTCACTGTTACAGCCCAGAGAAGCACACAACATCTGCCAGGTGCTCCTAGAGCCACTGTACTATGGGGTGGGCTACACTGCCTCTCTGCCCTCAGAGTCCTCTGTGTCATGTGCTGACCTTCAGGGCACATACCTGCATGTGCGCTCTCAGAGACTGCATAAGTCAAGTGGGGTGGTCATAGTTAAGCGCGCTGAGCAAGCCCTGGGTCCTTTATCCCCGGATCCTGTGGTTTGCTGGTAGCTAAAAGGCCCCTACCAAGAGAGCTGAAAGCCAAGTATGTTGCTGCATAAGCCATGTGCTGTGCAGAGAGGGATGCATCAGCCCATACCAGGACACTGGTGTTTTATTGTCTGCCATTGTGGCTCCTGGTGGCAGTGGGCTCTGACATAGCAAGCCACCCATCCACTCACTCACTTATTCCACTGCATAAACATTTGGAAATTGAGTGCTTTGTGTGAGGCATAGGGAGGACAGGCTGGATTTTCTGCCCTCAGATCCCCACCCTCAGATAGGCTGGCAAGGAAGAAGATACCTATACAATTAGCCCTGACAGAATGTGCCCCCTAGGCATGTGTGCACAGGCTCAGGAAGAATAATTACCTCCTCCTGCTTGAGCCTGGGAGTCTTTGCAGAGGGCAGGGCAGAAATCTTGCCCTAGTTTTGGGTAATGAGTTAACTGTACCAGGTCTATGGGACCTTCTTGGGTGGGAGAACTGCACAGCTTACAAGTGTAGTGTTTGGAGTGCAGACAGGGCTCAGGTGGGAGCAATCAGATCTCACCAGCAGACAACCTCTGATCAAGTCCTCCTGTGACGAGTCTCTGGCTTTGGGACTCTCATGAAATGCTTCATTATCTCCCTCTCTTCTTACGCCACATGCAAAGAAAAAGAAAAAGTGGGTACCTTCTGGGCATCTGAGAAATGGGACTACTAAGCATCCTGCACCTTGAGGACCTTCAGAAAGGAGCAATGTACTGAGAAGCTATTGGCGTGCAGCCAGGTAGGTACGCAATGTTAGCAACTGTTACAGGCAAGGTACGGGCTGGGACAGTGACTCTTCACCAGTTTGCCCCTGAGGACACATGACAATGTCTGGAGACTCTTTTGGTCATTACTACTGGCAGAGGTGAGAGGGGACTGTTACTGGCATAGGGGGGTAGGGATGCTGCTGAACATTCCACTATGCAGAGGACACTCCCACAGCCATGGATGATCCACCCTAAAATGTAAATACTGCAGAGGCTGAGGAATGCTAGGCAAAAGAGTTTCATGTTCTCTGGAAGACAATGAGGTGCTGATGATTTTTAAGCAGGGGATGACATAATAAAAATCTAAGTTTCAGAAAGAAGACTGGAAAACTTGTGACATGACTAGACAGCTTGATTAAGAGGCACTGCAGATATGCAGATAAACAAGATCCAGTGAGAGGGAGGTTTGGAGTGACAGTGAGACCAGGAGAAAGGCACAAATTTGAGGGTCCTGGAAAGAAGATAATGGAGAGAATTTTCTGAGGAGTGGGAGAGAGAAGGGCAGACATGGGGCAGTGAGGAGACTCTGAAGCTTGTAGTTTCCAGGCCTGAGTGAGTGGTGACACTGCCTTTTAATGTCTAAGAGAAGACTGTTTGAGAACTATAGGCCTGGACACCATAGCTGGGGTGGGAGGGTAAAAAGCATTTCCAATACTCTGGACTTGAGCTCTGCCCTCCATTCCATTGGCTCCCTTGCTTCAGGTACCCAGGATTTGGGGGCATTAGCACTGTTTTTCTTACATTCTCCACACCCATACCCACTGACTCAATAATGACAGTGAGAATCTGAAAGAAGGGATTCCTCCTATGGACCTTCCAGACAGTCCACAAGAATATGACCAGTATGGGCTCCTGATGCCCAGGACATATCAGTTTTCAAGTGGTTGTGCAACATGTGACTGCTAAGGGCAAAGAGGAGGAACTCAAGACAACCACCGAGATTTGATCTAAAGAGATAGAGCTTCCTTATAACTCTGATTTCCCTGTAAATTGAGATCTGAAGATAAGTTAGAATGATTGGGAGTGCCGGGCATGGTGGTGTATGCCTGTAATCTCAGCACTCAGGAGGCTGAGGCAGAAGGATTACCACAAATTCAAAGCCAGCCTGGGCTACATAGTGAGTTCAAGGCCAGCCTGAACTGAATAGCAAGACCCTGCCTCAAAAAAAAACAAACAAAAAACACATAGAAGAGTTGGGAAATTCCAAGCAGTCAGCACATCTGTAAGAGAGTCCATGATTATCCTGTCTTGTGTCAGGCACTGGAAAGAATATTAGAACAATTTGATATATTGGTTTCTACCCTCCAAATATAACCACTTTAATTGGGGTAGGAGGACCACTGGGCAGAGAGTAATCAAAATACAAAGTTGAAACATAAGTAAAGAGGGTCCTTGTATGGTACAAGGAGCACTGGATACAGATTGGACCAGAGTTGATAGAACTCTGGTGCCTTACAGTACCTGTACTTCCAAAAGCTCCAGTTACCTCCAATTAAGTTATGAACAGCTTTTCATCCTTAGATTGTGGATGGCAGTGGCACTGCTGATGGCCTAGTCCTGACTTCCTGGAGCCCTGTGTTGATAATGGTTGTGTGGCCGCGTTCAGCCTTAGCTGGAGTCCACTGGTCCACTGATGACTGATGATGTCCAACGTGAATGCCACAAAAATATCACGGCAATATGCTTGGTGTGTGTTAACCACTGCTGATTAAGAGCAACTGGCTAGGGTCATTCCCAAGAAGTCCCCCAGTTCTTGAGTTCTGGAAGTCTATGATCTAAACGTTAAATTTCAAGGCACTGGCTGGCAGCACAATGAGGCAGAGATCTGTGTGGGCTGAGTGATCAGGGAAGGCTTTGGGAAGGAGGCAGCACTTCAGTGAGGCCTTCGGATGGGGGAGTGTGAGAGTCTGTATAGGAGGTGGGAGGACATTTATGTGCATGAAAATTGGGCTGAGCATGGGTTGGTCTTGGCACAGGCAGGAGGCCAGTGTCACTGGGTGCACTGTCTATGATGGGGGACAGTTGAAATTATATATGTGAGGATGGTTGTGGGTAAAAACAAGAACAAATGTTTATGGAGAGCTTACCATGTGGTCTGCCACACAAAAAAGATGACCTTTCTCGGGTTATCTCTCCCAAGCCTTGGATTTCGTCCCCAGAGTGCCTGCCCTCTACAGAAGCAGAAATAAGGCACTCAGAGACTCACTCGGGGCCATGTTGCTAGGGGCGGTATTAGAGCACCACCTTTGGTCCTGTGAGGTGGTTCTGGTGGTTGTAGTATAGCCTCTCTGCTCTAGGCCTCTTCTGGTCCTAGAAGGTAGGCAGCCAGGATGCCCAGCAATACAACTGAGACTTAGGAAACTGAATCTGTGGGTTCTGAGGCCTAGGAAGAGGGTGAGAACAAAGGTTGACTGAGGAAGATTTTGCCCTAGCAAGCAAATGTGCAAATGGATTCAAGCCAAGAACAGAGCAGGGTGGACACAGATCACAGATAAGTGCCAAGTGCTGCCAGTCATGCTCATTTGAGACTTTCCTCAAGCCCTAAATAATCTTTCAGAAACAATGGGAAAATGTCCCAACACTAAGGCAGGCAGGAGGGATGTGGGAGAACATGACATTCCAGAGACTTGGGCTCAGGGAGTGAGGATAGGAAAAGAGCTCAGTACAGTGTTAACACAAGCTCAGAAGCAAAACGTAGCTGTCTGAATAAAGCTTTGTCCTGCCTTTTGCCTAGGACTGCAGCCTTGGGCATCTCTGGGCTGTCCCTGCCTGGCACCTGGTGGTGTGCTTGAGAACTTCTGTTCTTTCACCCTCTTACCAGCTCTCTCCCCTTCCTCCCTGCACTCAGGAGTAGCCCAGTCTCAGCATCCGGTTCAATGGGATCCAGAATGGTGTTATCAAGCTACTAAGTGAGGAGATGCTGTATATTCTCTTACTTTGATCACTCCACTGTCCTTTCCCTGTCCACTGGCAACCCATTAGGCCAGTATGGCTCAGAACTCTGAGGATGGAGACAAACCCAGCCTGGGAACACTCTAGCCTCACTCACAACCTTCCTCCCAGCCCCTCACCTTGTTCTTTGATCTGTCTTGATCACACCCTACCAAAAGGCACTAACTCCTGGCTTCTCCATCTGACCCCATGGGACTTCCTGGTATTGAGGAACAGCCAGGGCTGTAATGCTGGGCTGGAAGATGCCAGAAACCACTTGCTCCTCCTCCTCTACCAAGGTCTCCTTGAGAAGCTCTTTTCTTGCTGTTTGTATATGCTACTCACTGACCAAGGACTGATTTCATACTCTGTTCAGAGGAACTTTCTCCTTTCTGGGCCACTGCTAGCAAATGCAACCATTCCCACTTCTAGCAAATGCACCCTCATTATCCAGCTTGATTTAGCAAATGCATGCATTCCTTCTTCTGGCAGGTAGCTGAGCAGGCTGTTGCATTGGCTCTGCTTTTTAGCAACCTGCAGTCAGTAAAATCAATGCCCCATCTTATCTTTCCCAAAGGTACATCCCAGCTCCTTGGACCTGAAGCACAAGAAAAAAACATTGTCCTTCCAGCTAGCAACATGGGGGCTGAGCAAGAGGGCAAGCCTAGGCTCTTCCAGGACTCCTTCTGCTGCCTTGGAGAAGCCCTGAGAGGGGCCCCAGAAGACTGCACAGGGTCCAGGCTTTGCTATTGCTTCCCTGGGATGCAGGACCAAGTCCCCTCAGCCAGGTGGGTCACAGGCATTGTTGTTCCTCCCAGACCTCTTCTCTCTCTTGCCTCTTTCTCTCTGTGTGTGGCTCCTGTTTATATACACACACTGATACACATATATCATTCTGGGCTCTAAATGGAGCTGTCAGTAGCAGAACTCAGCTTCTGATAGGCAAATTGGCTTTGGTGTCAGAAACAGGAAGCAGTGATGCCTCTCTCTGCTGAGAGTGAGGAGATAAGAGAACAAAGATAGGCTGCCTCTGCTGGCAGCAGGAAGAGGTATTGTGGCTCAGACTGGGCACCCTCCAGGAGGTCTTCATCCATGCACAGCTGTCCTTGCTCACTTCCCCATGTCAGGCTGGAATGAAATAGGTGGAAGGGGTGGTCTCCGAGGGCATTGCACTGCTCTCCTGGGCTTAATTGAAACAATTTAAACTGTGGGGTCAAAGCATCTGTGGCCTGCAGACCCAAAGTGCTGCATCAGGGACGAAACAGGGAGACAGGGACAGGGATGGAAGGTAAGAGCTGCTGTAGAATGTCTGGCAAACATTCTGATGCCATCATACCCTTGCTCATCTGTAGAGTGAAGCCCCAGTTACATAAAGCTCCAGCTGACTTGGTATAAGTTATGACTAAGAAAACTTTCCAAACTTTCCAAAGACAGTTGGTGATCCTCCACCTTCTTCCCGTTGACTGGTGAGAACTACCCCCACAGGGAGGCGAGCAGGGAGGAAGGCTCCTACCTCCCGTGGTCCTGACTCATCCTGCACATAAACACTCCCCAACACTCTTTCCCAAAACAGTTCCCCTCCCACCTACCAACCCTCCTACCGGGGCTGGGTGACAAAAATGAACGTCCCAGAGATCTTGCCAAGTTGTGGGCCAGGCTTAGCCCAGGGAACATGAAATTCCCATAGACTGGGAGAAGCAACCCTCTCGAAAAAGCAAAACAACATCCCTTCAAAAGAAAAGCATCATTTGACCCTACAAGGCTATTGTTTTCCAAATAGCTTGGACTACTTTCCCTTTACAAAAATAAAGCTTCAGCTTTCATAGTCATAAAATATTAGAATTAAAGGAATCTCCAAGATCATCTTTAACCCCTCTATCCTTTCCTATTTC